CTGATTGCTCTCATTGTCTCTTCCTTCCCTCCCTTCTTTTCCTGCTCTCTCCTTTCTGTCTTTTCATGAAAACAGACTTTAAAATCAAGACACTTTGTGCTTGGGTTCTTTCCTTGATCTGCCATACTTTACTTTTAGAGGTATAATCCTGAGCCGGCTTTATCTCATGCATTTCCTTTTCTAACTGTAGAATCTTCACGTTGGAAATTTTTCTAGTGTCGAATCCCCGTAACAGATGCTTTTTTCCCAAAGGACGTAGGCAGGGGGTGGAGGGAGTTGGGAGGTGCAGACAGGCCGGTGGCAGGAGCTGGCAGAGCCCGGGGCAGGCATGGGGGCAGGAGGGCTTTGCTCCGGGCTGAAGCCCCTGCCCCAGCCCCGGCTGTCAGTCCTGGTTACGGGTGATTCAGTAGAAACCCGTAGTCTTTTCTTCCATTCTTCCATTACCACTCCTGCTTTCTTCTTCTGAAACAAGGGAGAAGCCTGTGTGTGTGCATGTGTGTGTGTGCAGATAAATCTTAAACTCTATGGAGAAGAGACCCCCACAGCCTCTAGAAATGTATATGCCTAGAAAACAACATTCTTGCTTTAAGAGATTTCGGAATCACCTGGATATAGTAAAACTTAAACCACGAAAACAGCCCAACCTTGAAAGACACATAGATCCAATGAATCTTCCCGATTTTCAAAAAGAAAAAAAAAAAAGAAACAGAAATCCCAGCCATCACCGAAAAATACAGGCTTCTTTCTGAGTTCCAAACACAGCTCTGGGAAAGCTCAAACAAAAGTGGCATTGTCTTCAAGGCCCCTGCTGCTTCGAGGGTCCCCAGAAGGGTCCCCAGACGGTTCTCTTTGGATGCTGAGGTTGGCAGACCCCTTTCTTTTCCACAGTGTTCTCCACCATCCCAGCCCCGCACCCAGGTCGAGGCTTCACAATGACACCGAGTCTTGTGGGGAAGCCCTCAGAGACTTTTTTTTATTGCGGCAATAAGGGACATGATCATTCCATCTCCAGCCCCCCCTTGCTTCCCTCAGGCCAGTGCTGAGGAAAGTTAACTCTTCCTGGGGCCGCCTGAGGTGTCGGATGGAGAGGGCAGACTGGAGTGCTGAGGACAGAGGCAGGAACCAGGCTGCCTTTCTTTCCTTAGAACTTCCTTTCTGTAGCAACTGAATGGGACCTTTGCAGGCTAGGGTGGTGGCCTCCCTTCACAACGCCTGGCCCAGTTCCCAGCGTGAAACATTCCCCAAATATGCAATTTTGTGAGCATCCCAGCCGCCTGCCCTGGAGAACTGGCACCCACGGGGATGCCAGCGGAGGGGGCACGCCAGGCCCCACCCCCAGGCCGGGCTTGGCCAGAGGCTGGGGCGGCCTGGCCCCAGGCTATGTTGTCCCGGGGAGGGATCTGGCCAGCAGTCCAGCGGTGACAAGAGCTAGAGGCTTCTCTCTCTCCCTTTAAATCCCCTCCATTCAAATCCGATCCTATAAAAAGACTTTTGTTGAGGGAACAGCTATGGCATCTTGGTGCGCGCCTGTGCCATTTCTCTCCGTGTTTCCAAAGACGGGCAGAAAGACGTCATGAGTTGAATTCCTGGGCACAGAGGTGTGAAGAGTGACTTGGGAGGAGTGGGGTGACTGGCAGCAGTCACGTGACATTTGTTTTCGAGTGATGAAGCCAAAGAGGAAAGGAACATCTGGTAGACGGTAAGCAGCCCCCTGCCAGGAGGCGCCTGGGGGCGGGTGGCCCGCTGTGTGTCTGAGGAGAGGGTGCCCTGGGTGGGCAGGAGGTGGGCTGTTCATGGGCCTTGTGCGTTGAAGGGTGCGTGAGCAGTTTTGGGGGCCTTCTGTGCCACCACTTTGGAAAGAGAGGGGCTCTGGTTTCATTACTATCTCTTGGGAAGGAGCCGCTTCTATATACCTTGCTTTTGTGAATTTTCCCACAGAATACAGCCATGGTGACAGTCACACCCGGTCACTATGCTGCCTGATGCTTTGTGTGCTCACAAGAAAAGTCTCACCAGGGAAATGACTATTGGCTTCTTTTCGGTCTTGAGCTTTTGTTTAATTTCGTCTCACGTTAGTGCCTTCAAAATTCCTAAAATCTTTGTTTCAAGGAGGCTACTGATGGAAGGACCTAGGAAGAAGGTCGTTTTATGGGTTTTGCTGATTTTCATTTCATTTGCTTATTCATTTCGATTTTCATTTGCTTTAGTTTTAAATGCACATAGTTGTCAAGCATAAACACAACCAAAGGCAAAAAAGCAATGTCCAACAAATTATAGTATTTAGTATTCCTAATAAATGAACTCTCTTACCTGTGGCTTATTCTCTCTTTTTTTTTTTTGGCTAACAAAGAATACATTTTATTTATCATCTTATTGCTCATTTTAGCCATTTATACAGAGGCAGAAAACACAAGTATTTTCTCTTGGAGTATGGCTTTTATTCTTTGGCTATTTGGTAAGAAATATTCAGAACACTTGATTACATTTAGTGAAAAATTTAAAGCCCTCCACTGATTATCGCATGACTAATAATATTACAATGAAAATTACATAGTTTTTTATATACTTACCTGTTATTGTTAACCGTAGTTTTTTGCCTGCTCCAACCATGTGATGTTGTTCTGTTTTGGAGTGTCTTCATTTTTAGACATTTAGAGGAAGACACTTTCTCTTAATTTTACCTTCTTTTATTAAGTACATGTTCTGCCACCCTTGCCTTTTTTGGCCGGTATTTTTCTCTGAATGCTTTCCGTCTTCTTGCTTCTTTAAGCACCTCTCTGATTTGATTCCTTCAGACTTTCTTCCCTAGGACTCCTTTAGCATTTGATGTCGGTGCCTTCTCTATTTTTCCAAATCCTAGAACGAGTAGCTAGCACCACAGAGCAGTGTAGCAGAAAGAGTTTGGAGTCAGGCAACCTGGGTGCAAACCCTGGCCGACCACCTACTGGTTGTGTGACGCTGGACTGGTTCACTCACTTGTGCTCCTTGACGGTAAGGGGAGCTAATCATGGTGCCTGTGTCACAGAGCTCTTCTGGGGATTAAACTAAGTCACATATGTAAAGTCTTAGAACAGTGCCCGACACCCGTTGTCATTTCATTCGGGCTTCTTCTGTATGTGATGTAAAGTTTTTTGATAAATATTGCTGTTAGGGAACATAAGATGGTAGAAGAGAGTGGGCTTGGTAGTGGCAATGGTGGTAGGTTGTAAGTGAGCGTGCTGCTGTTTCTGTAGAACTTATGGTCCTTTATGATGTAAAGGGGGAAAAAAAACTCTTAAGTAAGCTGCATATCCTGGACTGCTTTCTTTTTTTTATTTTCTAACTGCTTTTTTGAGACATAATTTGCGTGCCATGCAATTCACCCATTTATAAAGTGCACTATGCCATGTTTTTTGATATGTTACATTATTAGATCTTAAAGTTGTGATAAAATGTGCACAAAGCATAAAATTGACCATTTTAACTATCTTTAAATGTACAGTTCGGTGTCATTAAGACATTCACAAGGTTGTACAAAATCATTTCTATTTTAAGTGTTATCACCCCAAACAGAATCCGTATCCATGAAGCAATAACTCCCCCTTCCCCCTCCCTTAGCCCCTGATAACTTCTAATCTACTCTCTGACTATGAATTTGCCTATTTCAGATATTTCATGTAAGTGGAATTATACCACATTTGTCCTCTTGTGTCTGGACACAAGATTTTTTTTTTTTGGCATAATGTTTTCTAGGTTCATCTACATCACGGCATTATCAGAACTTCCTTCTTCTTCATGGCTGGGTAATATTTCATTTTATGGATATACCACATTTTACCCAACCATCCACCTTTTGGCTATTGTGAATAACGCTGCCATTCACACTGGCATGCGAGGATCTTTTGAGTTCCTGTTTTTAATGCCACCTGGAAGTAGAATCGCTGGGTCATATAGTGATTCTATTTTAGCTTTTTCCAGAACCGTCAAACTGTTTGTCTGGAAAACAGTTGCTTTGGGTTATTCTCTGGTGTCCAGCTCCCTCAGATTCTCTTCTGTTTTCCTCCTGTCATCCAAACATCATTCTACTCCCAAGCAGCAGACATGTTCTTGGCTTCCCTCCCAACCACTCGTCTCCCTCCCACTTTTCTGAAAGGAGATCCCTCTTCTCTGCCCTGTATCCGCTGGCAGAGCATGTGTCACCAACTCTGGTCACACATCCACCTGCTCACTTCCAACCCATTGCCCAGGGAAGGTGGCTCTTTGTAGAAGATGTCCACAGACCTCAGTTCATTTTGGCTGGGGGGGCTGCAGGACGACCCTAGGACCTGTAAGGCATGGGAAGTCAGGGATTTGAGCCAAAGGTCTTGCAGCCCACCCCCCCAGACAGGCTCCCTCGTCCCACATGACACCGCATGTCACCGTTCCCCATCAGCTCTGCTCGTCTTGAGGGGACAGTGGAGCCCTCTTTCCCAGAGAGTAGTTCTTCCCTTCTCACTTCCTCACGGTTCCTCCAGTTCTCCATGAGCAAGTGAATTCATTAATGAATCCTCCAGCAGCCTGTGAGCCTGCCTCAGACAGCCATTCTGGTGGTTGGGCTAATTGTTAGCTGGGGTTTCTGGATGTCATTCATTTCACAATAAGGTTCCTAATTAATCTCAGCCCAGTTCTCACCAGAAGAAAGGCTGATACGGAGAAACATCCCCAATTACCATGAGAAAGGAAACGTCAAGAGCCCCCGTTGAGTTTTCCTGGCACCCACCCTTGTCTCAGATGGAAACCGCCATTACCGCCAGGAGGCTGCGTAGGGACCGGCCATGAAGACTAGAGCGTGGGGAGGAGCCTGGACCACACAGACCTGCTCTTGGAGGAGCCGACCGTGTTTCCCAGGGTAGTCTAGAGAATCCCGGTGCCGTGGGCCACGTCGGAGGCAGAAGCTCCTCTGCTGTCCCAGAAGCACGCCGGGTGGTTTTCCTCTGGAAAAGCTAAAGGCCCGTCTTTTGTGTGTGTTCTTGTGCCTGCAGGACAAAAGATCCTTCATCACCGAAGTGACGTTTTAGAAACGGTGGTCCTGATCAACCCTTCCGATGAAGCCGTCAGCACGGAGGTAAGCATTGGGCTTTGCAGAGGCCTGAGGCAGGGCCGCCACACTGGACAGGGACCCACTGATGACAGGGCTGGGAAGGCGAGGGCAGGAGAGGAACACAGAAAAGAGAAATCCTGGGCCCAGGGGACCTCCTTAACCCCCAGTCAGCGGCTGGTTTTCTGCACTGGTGCCACCCCCTCTGCCCCTCCCGGTCAAAATGAAGCGGAAGGCGGAAGGCTAGCTGGCACTGCAATGTTTTGTCCAGGCGGGTGGTCAGGTGCATGCACTGGCCCCAGACTCCCTGGGCATTGTCCTAATCCCTCTTCTGCCTCTTACTACCTGGTGGCAAGAGGGTATGGGATCTTGGGCACGGATGGGAGGGGAGCTCATGGCATGGAGTCTCACAGGGACACGGCAGGGGAAGTAGACGACAGGCCCTCAGGCTGGGACACACAAGACAGACTTGGAGAAGGGTGGCATCGCAGATGCGAGCCCCCTTCAGAGCTATCCTGCCTGCAAACCTTCTCGCTGCTGAAAGGCAGGAGGCGTAGCGGTCAGGCGCGTGCACTGGCCCTAGACTGCCTGGGCGTTATCCTAATCCCTCTTCTGCCTCTTGCTACCCGGTGGCCTTGAGAGAGTGATTTGCTGTCTTTGTCTCAGTTTGCGCCTCTGTGAAATGGAGAGTGTTAACAGTCCCCGCATTCAAAGTTCAAATTTAATGTTAGGCTTAAAAGTGGGGAGTACTTAGAACATAGCATGGCGCATCATGACTGACATGTAAATGTTGGCTGTTATTATTAGTATGATTGTTGCCACCATAGGAAGATGTGCTACAGAGAGAGTCATTGGGTATTTCAGAGCCCACTGCGACGTAAGAAATTGGCTAAAGCCAAGAATACCCGGTCACCCAGCCAGAGGTGTGGCTGTAGCTCCATTTTCTACTTCCTCTATTATGGTTGAGCACTTTTGAAATCGAATGGCTTCTCGGACAGTCAAGTTGCCAGAGTCCCTGGGAGCCTCCTTCGTCTGCCACGTCTCTTCTGTCCACACTTTGAGCATCCCTGTGACTGTTTGTATAAATGGAGCTGTAATTTACTTCCCAGAAAATCCATCCTTTTAAAGTGTGCAGTTCAGTCGTTTTTAGTATTTTTACAAGTCGTGCAACCATCACCACAATCAAATTCCAAAACGTGTCCATTATACCCCCAAACCCCGAACCCTCTGTTCCTCCTCACTACTGGCAACCACGAGCCTACTTTCTTCTTATAGATCTGCCTGCTCTGGACATTTCATATGAATACAGTCACACAACATGTGGCCTTTTGCATCTGGCTTATTCTACTTAGCATAACGTGTTCAAGCGTCGTCCATATTGTCTCATGTACGACTGCGTTCCTTTTCATGGCTGTGTGACCCCGTACGGCTAGGCCTCATTTGTGTGTCCGTCCTTCAGTTGATGGACGCTTGGGTTGCTTCTGCTTGCGGGCTACCCTGATGTAACCTGTTCTGACCTACTTCTTTCTGCTTTGGATCAGCAGGACCTCCTTGGCAGTCCATTAATAATGGTGCAGGGTTGGGGAAAGTGGTAGGATAGCAGTCTCTCCGGGACTAACAGAATCAGGAAGTCCTTGCAACTTGAAAAAACCTGGAGAATTAATATATGTCCAGGCAGACTGCCTAGAACAGCTGTGAGACATGAAAAAGGAAAAAATAAGGAATTTTTGAAACAGGAATCCAGGCTTGTCTGTGGAGCAGATGGGGCTGAAATAATGACTTAGGTGTGTGTGTTTCTCCATGGTTAGACTGTGGGATTCTTGGGCAAGGGGTCGTGCCCTGTTTATTTTTGGAGCCTGTCTCCAGCCCAGTGCCTGGCATGGGGCTTGGCACGTAGTATGTGCTGAACATTCGTGAACTGGGCTCAGAACGAATACCTTGGTGCTTAACGTGGCGTTTCTGCTGAAGGGCAGCTGGCCTCCTGCCACTTGGAGTTCACAGGGAGTTCTTTAGCGCAAACCATTTGCAATTCTGTTTCGAAGCTGGCTGTTCAGGGGTCACCTTTTCTTTATGCTCTGGGTCAAGCCCCTCGAGGGTCCCACAGGAGGCTGCACTGGGAGCTGAGCGTTGGCCGCATGGCTGGGAAGGAAAGGGATGCCGGATGGGAGGGGCTGGTGCAGGACCCCACATGGAACCCTGAGCTTCCTGGGGAGCAGCTAGGGGACCTGGTGACTCAGCCTGTGAGATATTCACGAGGCTTCCCTGGTCCCCAGGCTCCGTGCTGCCAGCGGACACTTCCGAACAGCTGTGGAACCAATGATGGCCAGCTGTGAAGGCCGCTTTGGAAAAGAGGAGGAAACTGGGGAGGGGAAGTCAACTGTCACGACTGTCTTGGTTGTAGCAGAACTTTGAAAATGGCATTCGTGGGGCAGCTGATGACCACACTTATCGTTTCTGTGGGGGATTCCTGCGGTCAGGACTTCGTTCTTTCATCCCTCCCCGTCCTGGGCACGCCCTGCCACCACCATCAAGGGACGTTATTAGACTTAGGGAACGAACGCTTTGGTTGGTGATACACTTGGATGGCTGCCCAGGCTAGGCCTGTCCCGAAGGTGAGTTGGCGGCACTGCCCGCAACTCCGGTTCCATGCCCTCTGCTTCCTTTCAGGTGCGCTTAATGATCACGGACGCCGCCCGACACAAGCTGCTCGTGCTGACTGGGCAGTGCTTTGAAAACACCGGAGAGCTTATCCTCCAGTCCGGCTCTTTCTCCTTCCAGAACTTCATAGAGATTTTCACCGATCAAGAGGTGGGTTCCTGTCTGGGAATGTCTGTGCTCCCAGTTGCTTGGGTGCTGTTATCACCTTAGGCTGCTCTTTGAAAGGACTGGGGGATATAGAAGAACAGGGGAGGGGATGTCACAGCTCCTTTGAAACATGCAAAACTGTGTGAGCCTAAATACTTTGGTGCTATGGCTCGTCGCCAAAAGAATTTAGTGCACTTACCTATATAATTTGTTGGAGCCCTTGTTTTTCTTCTTTTTTGAGTTGGAGTCTCACTCTGTTGCCCAGGCTGGAGGGCAGTGGCACGCTCACGGCCATCCAAGCATCAACCTGCTGGGCTCCGGCGATCCTTCCGCCTCAGCCTTCCAAGTAGCCGGAACTACAGGCGTGCACTACCACGCCCGGCTAATTTTTTGATTTATTGTGGAGACGAGGTCTTGCCAAGTTGCCTGGGCTGGCCTCGAACCTGCAGGCTCAGGCAGGTTCGAACCTACTCGCCTCGGCCTCCCAAAGTGCTGGGATTACAGGCTGAGCCACCGAGCCTGGCCGGACCCATTCTTACTGTACCTGAGATTTAGATGGGAGGTTGGAACGGTCAACATTTTACAGATGGCAAAAATGATGGAGAAGCTTGAAATGTCAGAGCCCCAAGAAAAGCCAGGTTTTCTGTTTTCTGAAAGAATATGCCAAGGATCTCTTGGGCTTTGGGTAGGGTTTAACTGCCTTGATCTCTTTCAGGATGTGTACCTACTTTTCCAGGCTTAATTGTTTACATTTTTCTTGCTTGTAATGACTGATCCCAATGTTTGAACTTGGGCTCTTTGAAAATCCCACGAAAGGGAAAGGGTTCTAGAAAAGGAGGTGTGTAGGCAAATGGGGGCACATCTCTCACCCAAGAGAAAGGTGTTTCGAGGAGCTGGACTGGAGCTGGATCATTCCCATTTCTAATGCACATCTTATTCAGAGATAATAAGTGGGAAGTATTGAAAATTATATGACGTGAGTGGCACTTGGTAAAATCAGATCTACAATTTTTTTTTTTTTTTCGAGTTGGAGTCTCACTCGGTCGCCCAGGCTGGAGCGCAGCGGCCGCTCCCGCCCACCGCAGCCTCGACCCGCTGGGCTCCGGCGATCCTTCTGCCTCAGCCTTCCGAGTAGCCGGAACTACAGGCATGCGCTACCACGCCCGGCTGATTTTTTGATTTATTGTAGAGATGAGGTCTTGCCAAGTTGCCCGGGTGGGTCTCGAATCCGCGGGCTCAGGCAGTCCACTCACCTCAGCCTCCCAAAGGCGCGGGATGACAGGCTGAGCCACCGAACCCGGCTCACAATTTTGCTTATTTCAGCTTGAGAATTTTCTGTGGCTGGGAAATTTTTCAAAATAATGTGCCCTTTTCATCTAGCTTATTTGTTTCTAGCACTTATGGGAACAGTTCAGGCTATCACCATAGCACTCCGGTAGCCTGCCTGTAGCTGGTAGCAGCTTTCTAAATGGAGGAACATGCTGATAAGAAGAGTTACCACACTGGCCTGGTGCAATAGCTCTTGCCTTGGACTCTGGGAGGCCAAGGCAGGAACATTGTTTGAGCCCAGGAGTTTGAGACCAGCCTAGGCAATATAGCGAGGCCCCGTTTCTATAAAAAAAATATTTAAAAATTAGCCAGACGTGGTGGCGCGTGCCTGTAGTCCCAGCTCCTAGGGAGGCTGAGGCAGAAAGAAACCTTGAGACCTGAGTCCAGGAGGTCGAGGCTGCGCTGAGCAGTGATTGTACCACTGCACTCCAGTCGGGGCAACAGAGTGAAACCCTTACTCAAAAAGAATAAACAAACAACAAAAAAACGGTCTCACTTGGACTGCAAAGGGCTCTGTGTCTTTCTGCATTTAATCTTCCTCAGCCCTGCAGTTCACAGAGAGGTCTCTGTGTACTTTTCATCACTGGCAAGGACTGTAAGCAAACTGCCCAGTTTCATTTGGTTCACCTGGAGGCTTCTAGAAAAAACTCGGGTCAGATGGCATAATGACGTTCCCTCTCCACTCACCGGGGATGGGGGACTGCAAAACGTGAAAAGGAGAGCCCGGCTCTCAGAAGGTGTGGCGTCATCTGCATCTTCAAGCACATACCAGGAAGGGACCCTCAGGCCGTCAGCACCTTTCTTAGAGGCTTCAGGGCCCACTCTCAGTGGGTGAGTCTTTACCACTTCCCAATGCGGGCTTTGGCCCTGTCTTCCTCCAAGGCTGCCGGGTTCGGGCTCCCTGTGGCTGTCATCTTGGTATCCGCTGCACCTGCACCTAGGAAAGGCTGTTCAAAGCGTCCAGTGAACCGCTTGTGCAGTTGCATTGAAATTCCCAGCGAGAGCCACTGTTCTCACTCTGCCTACTGCCCTGAAACTGTGTGTGATCATCATTCTGTCAGAATCTTTTTGCAAGATTGCGTCCCCATGTGCATGCTGTACCCGGAAGCAGGTGGGCATTTGTCTAGGAGCTCAGAGGTCACACACATTATTAGCCTCTTGCCTCTGGGAAGGGGGAGAGCTGTAGAGGCCTGGAAGTGGCCCAGCGACATGGTGAGCAGTTAAGTGGCTCATGGAGATGCACACAGGCACCTTTTAGGCATCCCTGTGCCGTTGCGCGGTGAGTTTCTAGGGGATGGTTTCTACCCAAGTCATGGGTTTGTCTTTTTTTGCCACGAAACCAATGGAAATGTGGAACGAAAAGTGTTTATCATTGCCAAGATTTTAAATAAGGAGGGATCGCAGTTCATCTCCCTGGACCCCAAATAATACCTTCCCAATCTCTTTAAATAAGGCATAGCGTTATGAATATTGCGGCTTAAATCGTTTTTGCTAGACAGTGGAAGTAAAAATTTAACACACTGAGCTGTGCATATTCAGATGTGGCCACTCATTATAAAAGGAAAAGAAATAGCCTTAAGAGAAGAACTCAGGTTCCATGAAAGGACAGATTCCCCAGGGTTTATCATCGTTGGGGTGGGTTCTGAAAGACACACATCTTCATTGCACTCAGGCAGGTTTTATGAAGGCCAGGCACTATGTCATATTCTCCTCTGTTTCCCCCACAACCTTACACATTGATACTTTGCAGGCAGTAATACTCGATACATATGGAAAAGGAGCTGGGCTCGGTGGCTCAGCCTGTCATCCCGCGCCTTTGGGAGGCTTAGGTGAGTGGATTGCCTGAGCCCCCGGGTTTGAGACCCGCCTGGGCAGCGAGACCTCATCTCTACAATAAAACAAAAATGAGCTGGGTGTGGTAGTGCGCCCCTGTAGTTCCAGCTACTTGGGAGGCTGAGGCGGAAGGATTGCCGGAGCCCAGCGGGTCGAGGCTACGGGGGCCGGGAGCGGCCACTGCCCTCCAGTCTGGGCGACAGAGTGAGACTCCGACTCAAAAAAAAAAAAAAACCTATGGAAAAGGATCTCTAGGGTTTTCCTTAACACACTGGATCAGTGGTGGGGAAGGTGACAAAGAGAGAGCACCGGGTAGAATTGACTCTCTCTCTCCTGCTCCAGCCAAAGCTCCTCAGTCTCTATCTCTTTCACATTGTGGACTTTGAAGAAAGGAAGCCACAGCTGAAGTGGCTTGAAAACCGCTGGACTAGACCAATGGTCGTCCATCGTGACCTTGGAAAAATGGTTGAACACAGAATGACTTGGTAGCCAAAGGACCTTAAAGGCCATCGTGTGTGCGGTTCCCTTTAGCCAGTCCTTGAAACATACGCATTGATTCCAGAAAAGCCAGAAGCACAAGTTGGAAAAACAAAAATGATCCTTTGTTCTTTTTTCTTTATTTAATGACAACAGCTAAAAATAAATGAACTGAGAAATAGAACTATCAGCGCACTTGGAGCTTCAGGTTTTGGGAGTTTCAATCATTAGAGATCAACCACAACAGCAGAACTTACAGCCAGGACAGTGTCTGGCTGACCCCATTCCTCCCTGAAATTCCAGGATGGTGAAATCATCATCTCCCACAGGCATTTTTCAGTCTCTCTGTTGGAAATTGTTTCCTTATTCGTCTCCGTTGTATCATAAGGAGGGAACGTGTTTCCTTTCTACCTACAGTATCTTAGCTATCCTTCACCAACACTGCCAGGTTTTTCTCCCTTTAGATTAATCATCTTCAGCTTTACCCATAGTTCTTCATAAGATACTGAAAGTTTCTTGCATTCCTTGGTCACTGTTCTTCAGACTTGTTCCTCTGTGGAGAAAGGGACATGGGATGAGTATGCAGAGATTCAAAAGTTCAGTCCTGGTACCTGTGGAGTTATCAGATGGTTGGATCCATAAGTCCAGAGCTCAGGGAACTTGGAGCTGGCCTAGAGACATTTGGAACCATTAGCATTTTAGAGGTATTTTTTCAAGCCCTAAAGGTAGGTGGTATGATATCCTATAGAGAGAAATGTATTAAGAAGAGAAAGGGACCCAGGCCTAGCATTTAGAAATCAATAAGGTCAAGGTGAAGGAGCCAGCCAGGGAGATTTGTTTCCGTCTTTGGGGGTCTGATTTCTCGAACACATCATGACTAAAACTGGACACCCTATTCCAGGAATCATTTGACCAGGTTTGGATTGTGAGAGTTGATGATCTCTATGGTTTCCTATATAATCTTCTATTTTCAAAGTCTAAAAGAAGCCACGTGTGGTGGTTCAAGGCTGTTAATCCCAGCACTTTGGGAGGCCGAGATGAGAGGACTGCCTGAGCTCACGGGTTTGAGACCAGTCCAGGCAACTTGGCAAGACCTCATCTCTACAATAAATCAAAAAATCAGCAAAGCATGGTGGCATGCGCCTGCAGTTCTGGCTACTTGGAAGGCTGAGGTGGAAGGATCTCCTGAGCCCAGCAGGTCAACACTGGGTTGGCCATGGCATGCCACTGCACTCAGCCTCGGTGATGGAGTGAGACTCTGACTCAAAAAAAAAAATCAGAAAGTATAAAAGTAACTTTTGATCATCACCATGCACGATTCCATGTCAATGGGGAAGAGATGCAGGCTGTGGGGAACGCTACAATTGACATAATAATTGACACAATTATTGATACACAATTAAGTACAGAGCCATACCACTGAGGGGCCTTGAGGTTTAAGCTGCTTTGGCTTCATGATAAATCCATTTGACGGTCAACTAAAATCCCTGAGTCTTTTCCATGGATATCGTCGTTAAGCTACATCTCCCAATCCTGTGGTTTACCCTGCTGGTTTATTGAACCTTACATTTATCCATTTAGAATGCCATCCTGTTAGAGTTGACTTAGCCACCATCATCCCAGTGTCGAGAGCTTCTATAAATATCTTAATTCTGCCCTCCCGCATGGTGCTGTGTCTTCCATTTTCGTACTGTCCACAGAGATGATAAGCCTGTCTTCACCGTCTTCATCCAAATGAATACTTAACAGGACAGCAAATGAGCCTTGAGGCGGCCCACCACAGACCTCCTGCCAGGTTGACCCTAATCAGCACTATTTATGTGGCTGGCGAGAAATCCACCTAATTCTGCTCTCACACTATATAGAGATCCTATTAAATGTCTGGCTAAAGCCCAGAGATACACTGTCTACTGTATTTCCTCATCAACCAAGCAAGTAACCTAATCAGAAAAGGAGATGTCGTTAGTAGGCCATGGTTTAGATATTTAAATCTTGTTTCATTAATATCATCTGCAGTGAAGCCATTTATTTCCTATATCTTCCTTCCTCTTCCAGTATGCCTGCATTTAATCAGAAAAAGTAATTAACAAAAAAGATTATCTTTGGCCTGAAGCAGTAGTTCTCTCTTGCATCTGCCATGTATCTTTGTAAGAGGCAGGGTAGCCCTCACTGTGGTCGCCTCCCACGTGCCCTCTCCAGGAAGACAGCATGTGTTGGATTGGCTGAGTTGAGTGCAGTTCAACAAACACCTGCTCTGGCCTGATTATGTATGGGGTAAAAAAAAAAAAAGGTGCAAAGATATAGAAGATGTTTTTCCCGCTAACCAGAAACTTTCAGTGTAGTGGGTCATAATTGTTACCATTCACTGTGATGGTGATGTCCCAGTTTGTTCAGGAGAAGCTTCAGTTGCCAAGTCTAAGGACTCATTATGGGTTTCCTTGCCACTGTGAATGCTGTTGGATTCTCCCGTGGCTCTCGTAGCTCGCTGAGTAAGACTTGATTGAGTGCATCGTGGACTGGCCACTCCTAAAACCCCGTTGTTGCCCTTGAGACCCGGATTTTCTACTGTGCTTGTTGGCCCGCGGGTCCAGAAAGAGGCTGTGGGGGGAAATGAGGGCTTCGGCCCGGCTCGGTGGCTCAGCCTATAATCCCAGCACTTTGGGAGGAGGTGAGTGGATTGCCTGAGCCTGCAGGTTCGAGACCAGCCCGAGCAACTTACTGAGACCTCGTCTCTACAATAGATTTTTTAAAAATTAGCCAAGCATGTTAGTACACGCCTGCAGTTCTGGCTACTTGGAAGGCTGAGGCAGAAGGATCGCCGGAGCCCAGCAGGTGGGCGCTGGGGTGGCCATGAGTATGCCACTGCCCTCCAGCCTGGGCGATGGAGTGAGACTCCGACTCCAAAAAATAAAAAAGAGAAAAGAAAAAGAGAAAACTGGGGGCTTCATTCCGTAGTATAGCTCCAGAGATGTGGGAGTCGTTCCTCTTCTTCCTCCTCCCTGCCCCGTTTCATCTGATTCCTTCATGACCGACTCTCTCTAGCCCTTCTCTCTACATTCTAGTCTCGTCACACATGGTATGCTGCTGTTTCTTCCCTGTTTCTTTTCCAGGTTTCCCCTCTCTGGAAAGGAAGCTGCCCATTTCTGCTTTAACTTATGCATCATCGTTTTTATTTGCCAACTTCTCCTGGCTCTTTTGTGACCTCTGGCGTCCTCAGCATTCTGTGTATCCTTGTTTATTTGGGGTCATCTCCTGCATTTCATAGAGACTCTCTGGTAGAATCTGGGTCCTGTGGCTTATGCCTGTAATCCCAGCACTTTGGGAAGCTGAGGCAAGAGGATTGCTTGAGCCCAGGAGTTCAAGACCAGCTTGGGCAACATAGTGAGACTCCATCTCTACAAAAAATATTTTTGAAAAATTAGCTGGGCCTGGTGGCACACACCTGTAGTCCCAACTGTTCAGGAGGTTAAGCTGGAGGATTACCTGAGCCCAGGAGTTCGAGGCTGCGGTGAGCTATGATCACGTCACTGTACTCCAACCTGGGTGATAGAGTCAGAGCCTGTCTCAAATAAGTGAATAAATGAATGCATGAATCTCTCTGGCAGAGGTGAAAAGATAGACCCTGTTTCAGGTAAATGAATGAACGAATGAAACTCTCTGGGTAGAGATGCAAAGATAGAAAGTAGGGAGCTATTCTTTGTCTTTTCACCTTCTGCTTTAACTTGGTGATTATACACCAAGTTAAGAGCTAGTAATTGAATACCCCCTACACACAGTTGGATTTATACCCTTGGCTGCCACACTTCTCTGCTAGGGGGAATTTTTATAAATGAAAATGAACTAAACAATTTTAAAACTCCACTATTAAAAAGTCAGCAGTGGCTGGGTGCAGTGGCTCAGCCTGTAATCCCAGCACATTGGGATGCCGAGGTGAAAGTATTGCCTAAGCCTAGGGGGTTCGAGACCAACTTGGTGAGACCTCGTCTCTACGATAAATCACAAAAACTAGCCAGGAGTGGTGACGTGCGTCTGTAGTTCCAGCTACTTGGAAGGCTGAGGCGGAAGGATCGCCGGAGTCCAGCAGGTCGAGGCTGCGGTGGCCGGGAGCAGCCACTGCACTCCAGTCTGGGTGACAGAGTGAGACTCCAACTCAAAAAGAAAGAAAGAAAATTAGGATACAGAGAATTTTAATTGTGCTGTAGTGATGGTGATGAGGAGACGTCTGTGCTCATTATTAGACAAGAAACCATACTTGGTTTCTCATTTTTGCTTTGGCCAGTAAATAATTTGAGCAAATAACCCCCTCACCCCCCAAAGGATGGTATAGGATATTATGAAGTTAAGTTGGAGAAAAGCAGCAAAGTTTTATTATTTTGCTCTTCTCTGACCCTTCCATAAAATGTTATACTTTGGACTAATCGGCTAACAAAAATGACTCTTTCACTGCAATCTACCGTAGGAAAATTCAGATTCTATAAATTACCCTTACACATACAAACAAGAGTAGCCTCAGAATGTTGTTCACCGGGAAGTTAGATTATACAGAGGAAACTAATCAAACACCAGAAGATCAGAGTTCAAACCTGCTGGCTCAGAGATGCCTGGACCCAGTGAGACCTTTGCTTTGCATTTCATCATTTGCCATCCAGGACACAATCCTGGTCAGTTGAATCTCTGAGCTGATTTATGAACTTTACTGATGGGCGTTCATGGCGTGATTCTCCCTCTTTATCTGCTAGGCTGAGACCGTGAACCACGTGGGCAGAATATGGAGTGAGAAGGAACCTAATGTTAGTATTAAACTACAGTCGCTGTTTTGGTCCCAACTTGCTTTTCCATATTTCCATCCTTGGGAACTGGAACGGAAAGTTTCAACACACTACATAATGTGTTGAAAACTTTTGAGCCAGATTTGATCCTAGCCATTCATACCCAACTTGCCCTGAGAAGAATCAGAGTAGTAAGAGAGTGCCTTACCTCAGACTTAAACAGGAGTAAATACGGAACAAATTCGGCCACTGGCTTCAATAATTACCCAACCATTTTACACAGCTTCGAAAAAGCATTTGCAGAAAATCTGCTGGGTGAACCATTCATGTTTTAAGTAATGTGCCAGAAGTGAATAATTTCTGTGCCACCAGTGCCAGAAATGAATAATTTTTTGTAGTAATGGGCCATCCATAATTCCTTGTCTCCCATGGGGAAAAACTCCCACAAAACTTTGTCTTTTATACCCACCAAATTCCAAAAGGAAGCAACAAGTGCACTATTAACATGTCAATCAGGTCTTTTTTCTTTCTTTTTTTCTCTTTTTTCTTTTTCTTTTCTTTTTTTTGCCAAGTCCAGTGGAATAAAGTAAAACATTTCATATCAGTGGTGGAATGATTCCTAGAGCTATTCCCCATGACAGTTTAATACTTTTTAAAGGGCATCTTTGTGTGGCAAGTCCCCAGGGGTGATAGTTGAGGTGTTTCATAACTGTGGCATAAGCACCGGCCACCCAGGCGGATACTGGTCTTAGAACTGAAGCAGAGTTCTGGAGTTCCCTGCCGGGCAGAAACGGGCAGTGGAGGGATTGCAGGGGGCGTGCTAGAGGTGCTGTTGGTGGCAGAAGGGAGCAGTAGGGGGGCTCAGGACAGAGGCTGTCCATTTTCCAGTGTGGAGATATTTCAGCCCATACACAATGAGCATTGCTACGCAAGTGCATCTCTGAAACGGGTCCTCTGTGCACCAGTGATTCTATGATACGTAGAAACAGATGGAGATGGTGGATCGGTGATGGCAGTCCCTTGAACCTTTTCTTCCTTTCTTTCTCTCCTTCTTTTATCACCCAGATTGGGGAGTTACTGAGCACCACCCATCCTGCCAACAAAGCCAGCTTGACCCTGTTCTGTCCCGAAGAAGGAGACTGGAAGAACTCCAATCTTGACCGACACAATCTCCAAGACTTCATCAATATCAAACTCAACTCAGCTTCTATATTGCCAGAAATGGAAGGACTTTCTGAGTTTACCGAGTATCTCTCCGAGTCGGTGGAAGTCCCATCTCCCTTCGACATCCTGGAACCTCCCACCTCGGGGGGATTTCTAAAGCTCTCCAAGCCCTGCTGTTACATTTTTCCAGGAGGCAGGGGCGATTCCGCCTTGTTTGCAGTGAATGGGTTCAATATGCTCATCAACGGCGGATCCGAGAGAAAATCCTGCTTCTGGAAGCTCATCCGACACTTGGACCGAGTGGACTCCATCCTGCTCACCCACATTGGGGATGACAATCTGCCTGGAATCAACAGCATGCTACAGCGGAAAATTGCAGAGCTGGAGGAAGAACAGTCCCAGGGCTCCACCACAAATAGTGACTGGATGAAAAACCTCATCTCCCCTGACTTAGGAGTTGTATTTCTCAACGTACCTGAAAATCTGAAAAACCCAGAGCCAAACATCAAGATGAAGAGAAGCATAGAAGAGGCTTGTTTCACTCTCCAGTACCTAAATAAATTGTCCATGAAGCCAGAACCTCTGTTTAGAAGTGTAGGCAACACCATCGATCCTGTCATTCTTTTCCAGAAAATGGGAGTGGGTAAACTTGAGATGTATGTGCTTAATCCAGTCAAGAGCAGCAAGGAGATGCAGTACTTTATGCAGCAGTGGACTGGCACTAACAAAGACAAGGCTGAATTCATCCTGCCTAACGGCCAAGAAGTCGACCTCCCAATTTCCTATCTAACTTCCGTCTCTTCTTTGATTGTGTGGCATCCAGCAAACCCTGCAGAGAAAATCATCCGAGTCCTGTTTCCTGGAAACAGCACCCAGTACAATATCCTGGAAGGGCTGGAAAAGCTCAAACACTTGGACTTCTTGAAGCAGCCACTGGCCACCCAAAAAGATCTCACTGGCCAGGCTCCCACTGGTGCCTCGAAACAGGTGAAACTGAAGCAGAGGGCTGACAGCCGAGAGAGTCTGAAGCCAGCTGCAAAACCACTTCCCAGCAAAACCGTGCGCAAAGAATCTAAAGAGGAAACGCCCGAGGTCACCAAAGCGAATCACGCAGAAAAGCCACCCAAAGTTGAAAGCAAAGAGAAGGTAACCGTGAAAAAAGACAAGCCAGTCAAAACAGAGCCCAAACCGCCAGCGGCCGAGAAGGACGTGCCCGGCAAAGAAGAGCCGTCGCCAGTGAAAGCCGAGGCAGCTGAAAAGCAAGCCACGGATGTCAAACCCAAAGCCACCAAGGAGAAGACAGTGAAAAAGGACACAAAGGTGAAACCCGAGGAAAAGAAAGAGGAGAAGGAGAAGCCAAAGAAAGAAGTGGCTAAGAAGGAAGACAAAACGCCCGTGAAGAGGGAGGAAAAGCCAAAAAAGGAGGAGGTGAAGAAGGAAGTCAAAAGGGAAGTCAAGAAAGAGGAGAAAAAAGAACCCAAGAAAGAGGCGAAGAAGGAAACGCCGCTGAAGGAAGCCAAGAAGGATGTTAAGAGGGAAGAAAGGAAGGAAATTAGGAAGGAGGAAAAGGAGCCCAAGAAAGAAATTAAGAAGCTCCCTAAAGACACGAAGAAATCTTCCGCTCCTCTAGCCGAAGCAAAAAAGCCGGCTGCGCTAAAACCAAAAGTCCCCAAGAAGGAAGAGTCCGTCAAGAAAGATTCCGCTGCTCCTGGGAAGCCAAAGGAGAAGGGGAAGATTAAAGTCGTTAAGAAGGAAAGCAAGACAGCCGAGGCTGCCACCGCAGCCGCTGGCGCCGCGGTGGCCGCGGCCAGGGTAGCCGCCACTGGCCCTGCCAAAGACCTCGAAGCGGAGCGGTCCCTGATGTCGTCTCCCGAGGATCTCACCAAGGACTTCGAAGAGTTAAAGGCCGAAGAGGTCGACGTGACGAGGGACATCAAGCCTCAGCTGGAGCTCCTCGAAGACGAGGCGCGATGGAAGGAGACGGAGCCGGTGGAAGCCTACGTCACCCAGAAGGAGACGGAGGTCGTCAGAGGCCCTGCCGAGTCCCCCGACGAGGGCATCACCACCACCGAAGGGGAGGGCGAGTGTGAGCAAACGCCTGAGGACTTGGAGCCGGCCGGGAAGCAGGGGGTGGATGACACTGAGAGGTTTGAGGACGAAGGCGCCGGTTTCGAAGAATCCTCGGAGACCGGAGACTACGAAGAGAAGGCCGAGACCGAGGAGGCTGAGGAGCCAGAAGAGGACGCCGAGGAAAGCGTGTGCGCGCGCGCCTCCAAACACAGCCTCCTGGAGGACGAGGAGAGCACCAAGGCGGAGGCCGACGTGCACCTCCAGGCGAAGAGGGAGTCTGTGGCCAGTGGGGATGACCGGGCGGAAGAAGACATGGATGAGGCGACGGCCAAAGGAGAGGCGGAGCCGTCGGAGGAGGAGGCCGAGGAGGAGGACAAGGCGGAGGACGCCAGGGAAGACGACGAGTCCGAAAACATCGAAGCCGAAGATTACGTGATGGCCGTGGTGGACAAGGCCGCAGAGGCCGGGGGAGCCGAGGATCAGTATGGATTCCTCACGGCGGCAGCCAGGCCACCCGGAGCCCAGGCTCCCGGCCGAGAACCTGCATCTTCCATTCACGACGAGACCTTACCCGGAGGCTCCGAGAGCGAGGCCACCGCTTCCGACGAGGACAATCGGGAAGACCAGCCCGAGGAGTTCACGGCCACCTCCGGCTACACCCAGTCCACCATCGAGATCTCCAGCGAGCCCACCCCCATGGACGAGATGTCCACTCCTCGGGACGTGCTGAGTGACGAGACCAACAATGAAGAGACAGAGTCCCCGTCTCAGGAATTCATGCACGTCACCAAGTACGAGTCGCCGCCGTATACGCAGGAATACCCCAGGCCTGCTGCCGCCTCGCTCAATGGGTTCTCGGAAGGGTCAAAAACGGACGCCACCGAGGGCAAGGATTACAACGCTTCAGCCTCCACCATCTCGCCGCCCTCGTCTATGGAGGAAGACAGATTCAGCAGATCTGCTCTTCGGGACGCTTACTGCTCCGACGTGAGAGCCAGTGCCAGGTTGGAGATCAAAGACACCGTCTCGGCAGTTTCAGGCGACACACTTAGCCCGTCCAAGAGCCCGTCCCTGAGTCCTTCCCCGCCGTCACCCATAGAAAAGACCCCCCTAGGTGAACGCAGTGTGAACTTCTCTCTGACACCCAATGAGATTAAAGTTTCTGCAGAGGCCGAGGCAGTCTCGGTGTCTCCTGAGGTGACCCAAGAAGTCGTTGAAGAACACTGCGCTAGTCCTGAGGATAAGACTCTGGAAGTGGTGTCGCCATCTCAGTCTGTGACTGGCAGTGCTGGCCACACACCTTACTACCAATCTCCCACCGACGAGAAATCCAGTCACCTCCCTACAGAAGTCTCGGGAAAACCACCGGCAGTTCCAGTGACCTTTGAATTCAGCGAGGCCAAAGACGAGAATGAAAGGGCTTCAATAAGCCCCATGGATGAGCCCGTGCCTGACTCCGAGTCCCCTATGGAGAAAGTCTTGTCTCCTCTGCGCAGTCCACCCCTGATTGGGTCCGAGCCTGCATATGACAGTTTTCTAAGGGCTGATGGCAAGGCTTCTGGCAGATATACCGAAAGCCCCTTTGGAGAAAAGAATGGAAAACAAGGCTCTCCCGACCAAGTGAGCCCAGTTTCTGAAACGACTGCCACTGGTCATTACCACGACAGACAGGAAGGGAAAAGCACAGACTTTATACCAATAAAGGAAGACTTGGGTCAAGAAAAGAAGACCGATGATGTTGAAGCCATCCGTTCTCAGCCAGCATTGGCTTTGGATGAGAGGAAGTTAGGAGGGGATGTTTCTCCAACCCAGATCGACGTCAGCCAGTTCGGATCTCTTAAAGAAGACACCAAGATGTCCATTTCTGAAGGCACCGTCTCAGACAAGTCGGCGACCCCTGTGGATGAGGGGGTGGCAGAAGACACGTACTCTCACATGGAGGGCGTGGCCTCCGTCTCCACAGCCTCCGTGGCTACAAGCTCCTTTCCAGAGCCAACCACAGACGACGCGTCGCCTTCTCTGCATGCCGAGGTTGGCTCCCCACATTCCACAGAAGTAGATGACTCCCTCTCAGTGTCTGTGGTGCAAACGCCCACCGCCTTCCAGGAAACAGAAATGTCTCCATCAAAAGAAGAATGCCCGAGACCCATGTCAATCTCTCCGCCAGACTTCTCCCCTAAAACTGCCACATCTAGGACACCGGTTCAAGATCACAGGTCTGAACAGTCTTCAATGTCTATTGAATTCGGCCAAGAATCTCCTGAGCACTCCCTGGCCATGGACTTCAGTCGACAGTCTCCAGATCACCCGACGATGGGTGCAGGTGTGCTTCACATCACTGAAAACGGGCCGACTGAAGTGGACTACAGTCCTTCTGACATGCAGGACTCCAGTTTGTCACATAAGATCCCACCTATGGAAGAGCCATCCTACACTCAAGATAACGATCTTTCTGAGCTCATCTCAGTGTCTCAGGTAGAGGCTTCCCCATCCACCTCCTCTGCTCACACCCCTTCTCAGATCGCCTCTCCGCTCCAAGAAGATACTCTGTCTGATGCCGCTCCTCCCAGAGATATGTCCTTGTATGCCTCGCTCACCTCTGAAAAGGTGAAAAGTCTGGAGGGAGAGAAGCTCTCTCCAAAATCTGATATCTCTCCACTCACCCCACGGGAGTCCTCTCCTTTATATTCGCCTAGTTTTTCAGATTCTACCTCTGCAGCCAAGGAGAACACGGTGGCTCGCCACACTTCCTCTTCTCCGCCCGTGGATGCAGCGTCCGCAGAGCCCTATGGCTTCCGTGCCTCGATGTTATTTGATACGATGCAACACCACCTGGCCTTGAATAGAGATTTGACCACATCTGGCATGGAGAGGGACAATGGAGGGAAGACCCCTGGTGACTTTAGCTATGCCTATCCAAAGTCGGAGAAAACAACCAGGTTGCCAGATGAAGAAGACTGCGACTATGGGTCTTACCGGAAAACCACCCGGACCCCAGACATGGTCGGCTATTACTATGAGAAGACAGAGAGAACCACAAAATCCCCGGGTGACAGCGACTACTCCTATGAGACCATTGAGAAAACCACCAAGACCCCTGAAGATGGCGGGTATGCCTACGAAATTACTGAGAAGACCACACGGACCCCCGAAGTCAGTGGTTATAGCTACGAGAAGACTGAGAGGTCTAGACGGCTCCTGGATGACATCAGCAATGGCTATGATGACTCTGAGGATGGCGGCCACCCACTCGGGGACTCCAGCTACTCTTATGAGACCACTGAGAAAATTGCCAGTTTCCCGGAGTCTGAAAGTTACTCCTACGGGACGTCGATAACAACCGCACGAACCCCCGATGCATCCACGTACTGTTACGAGACTACAGAGAAAATCACCAGAACCCCCCAGGCGTCCACGTATGCCTACGAGACCTCAGACCGATGCTACACCGCAGAAAAGAAGTCCCCCTCGGAAGCCCGCCAGGACGTCGATCTCTGCCTCGTGTCCTCCTGTGAGTATAAGCACCCCAAGACCGAGCTTTCGCCCTCCTTCATTAATCCCAACCCTCTTGAGTGGTTTGCCAGTGAAGAGGCCCCTGAGGAATCCGAAAGGCCCCTCACTCAATCCGGGGGCGCCCCGCCGCCCCCGGGAGGAAAGCAGCAGGGCCGACAGTGTGACGAGACCCCTCCCACCTCGGTCAGCGAGTCAGCCCCGTCCCAGACCGACTCTGACGTGCCCCCCGAGACGGAAGAGTGCCCCTCCATCACGGCCGATGCCAACATTGACTCTGAGGATGAGTCGGAAACCATCCCCACAGACAAAACCGTGACGTACAAGCACATGGACCCACCTCCAGCCCCCATGCAAGACCGCAGCCCTTCTCCGCGCCACCCTGACGTGTCCATGGTGGACCCAGAGGCCTTGGCCATTGAGCAGAACCTGGGCAAAGCTCTGAAGAAAGATCTGAAAGAAAAGACCAAAACCAAAAAGCCAGGCACAAAGACCAAGTCGTCTTCGCCTGTCAAAAAGAGCGATGGCAAATCCAAGCCACTGGCTGCTTCGCCCAAGCCAGGGACCTTGAAAGAGTCTTCGGATAAGGTGTCCCGAGTGGCTTCACCTAAGAAGAAAGAATCTGTGGAAAAAGCCACGAAAACCACCGCCACTCCCGAGGTCAAAGCCGCACGTGGGGAAGAGAAAGACAAGGAGACCAAGAACGCTGCCAATGCTTCCGCGTCCAAGTCGGTAAAGACCGCCACCGCAGGTAGGTTGAAGAGGCCAGGTGTTGGATGCAGGCCACAACCATTCTGCTTTCATTTGGAGCCTTTATATTTCCCTGTTTGGCTTGGTCCTGGGAAGATGAGAGAGCTCGAGTTGAGGCTTTCCCTTCCCTCTCCTGTTCTCTCTCCAGAGATGTATGTCTCAGCCCAGTATGGCCTTAGGTTTGGAGAGAGTTCAACATATGGCTTAGAGCAGCTGTGATTCATCCCATGGGTTCCTGGGTTTGCATCCCCTTCTGGAAAACAGCAACTGCAGCCCTGTTCTAAATCTTTAGAACCCAGGATGTGTGTTTCAGGCTTCTCTGGAAGACTCAGCCATGCTGGCCTGGCCCCAGAATTCCACTGAAATGACACGGGCCAACAGCTCCCAAAACCTAAGGAGAACCAGAGGTTCCATTCCAAGGCTGGAATGACCAGTCTAGGCCCAAAATCTAGAGCTCTTTTTTCTTTTCTCTTTCTCTCTTTTTTGTTTGTTTGTTTGTTTAATGGCTCGAAATAGAGTCCTTACAAAATATTAAAGTCATACAATTTTAAGATTAAAAGTTACAACATTTTTATTTTTAGAAATCACCAAGTTGGAGAGACATCCCCACTAAAGGCAGTATTCTGTTTTCTTGTCAGCCAACAAATACCGAAATTTCAAGTGGCCAGTGAGTACTCGGGACAAATCAAGAGAAAAATCATTGAAGGCTCTCTTCTGATCTGCCTCTTATGCTGTGTCCTCATTAATACAGACTCAATGCTATTTCAGATTGAAATTCTACTTGGCAGGAGCAGATATCCCTGGCTTCTGAGCATTCCTGTTTTGGTTTTGATTTCCAGATTCATCAGATTCTCAGCAGTGACCTGAGATTTAGTGGAACTGGGCTCTGTTTTATGTAATTATTCAGGGATTTGAGATCACAGTTCACAAAGCAATATAAATTGACCCAAGCATGTGAAGTACAATGTAATTTAAATAACACATCCTGATTTACTAGGCAAAGTCTGGTAGGTGAATCTGGGGCTCTCAGGTTCACTACATATTAGGATATATGGGTTGCTAAAATTTTTACTTTAAACAATATGGTACATCAATTTTAGGAGTCCGTTCTCTTAAGATTTGGTCTTTTGACATGCATATAGAAAAACTGAATTTGTTTACATTTAGAATGAGTGGGAACCCCCCCAGATAAATAAATAATCCCTTTGTCTGAAAAAGTTGACAATGGGCCTGATTAGAAGAAAACATGAAATACATTTAAACAGATAAAAACCAACCAAAATTTGCTCCCAAATTTGCCATAACATATGTACCATAGCCCGCACAATTGATCTTTAAACAACTTTTTTTGGATAACTGAAGAGATCATTTAAAAACAAAGTAATAAATAAAGATGAGTTCATTTTCATTTATTTTTGAAGACGCTTTTAGACTTCTAAAAAGGAAAAACTGCACTTTTAGTTAATTTTGGAAACAATGCTGCATTGACATCTGGCAGTTCTCAGTTTGCATTTCTCTGAACAATCTTCATTTGGTGGTGATAGTAGTGATTTAGTGTACAAGGGAAAGTTGCAGAAATGTTTAACTACTCGGAGAGCGGTAACTCACAAATTTCTAATGCAGGCCAGAACTCCTTATGAAGCCTCCAAATGGATACTCGGAGGACTTTCAGCTCTGATTCATTAAGACAGCCTATTAGTCTCTTCATAATTTATCCAAATATCAGGTTGTGCAATTCGTACCACTCCCCTACCCCCCTAAAAATAAGTCGACAGTTGATAGAATTCTTTGGTGGTTTTGACTCTAGGATGACAGTCTAAACATCCCGGGGAGGTAACCCTGTGTATTTGAACCTGTAGATTAAGCACAGATAATCTAGCTGGCGTTTTAATTGACTTCACAGCAGTGGTCACAAACCAGTTGCATGTTAGAATCACCTGGGATACTCTTATTTATTTACTTATTTATTTATTATCTTTTTTGGGTTGGAGTCTCACTGTGTCACCCAGACTAGAGGCCACCGAGCCCGGCTCACCTGGCCTGTAATCCCGCGCCTTGGGAGGCTGAGGTGAGTGGATTGCCTGAGCCCGCGGGT